AAATAATTATTGCTCCCACTGTACTTGACATTTCTGATTCTGTTAACATTATATTCACAATTGGCCCTACTGTCTGTGCAGCGTCATATCTGCATCATTAGATTAGCTGTGGCTCACATCACAGCACTGAGTAATGCTACTATGTCCAATAATTACCTGACATTTAGAAAGATTTAGTTCCAATTATTATCCAATCCAATTATAACATTAGATGGCAAAATTAGACAGGCTTACTTGCTCTCACTCTTTACACCAGTTTTAGTTAATGAACTATTCTCGACCTATAAAACTTATATATGTATTAGCACTGGACACAGTGGATCTGTTGCTATGGCAATCAGTGCCAAAATTAGTAGCCCAAAGCTCTCTATAGTCCTAACAGGAAGAGTCACTCTCACACAGGCAAAGGGAAGACAAAAGTCATTTTATTTAACATAAGAGTGTTAAGCCTTGTTAAAACACTGTCCAATTCATGTTCTCAGGTAACGCATTTTTAACCAGCATAGTGCTAAAATGTTTTGTCTATTACTTGTTTTGTTTATCATTAGAAAATAATTCAACAGCAATTTTGATAGTTCTGCATATCAAATAGCTTTGGACAAAGGTCTCAAACGAGTCAGTTTGACGACAAAAAATGAAATGAAATGATGAGATACAGTGTTCAGTTTGGTTTGAGATTAGTTGTTTGAAGCTTGTTAAAAGGGGTTTCACATCAATGAAAAAGTTTTTTTACAGCTGATCTGCATAATGGGTGGGTGTAATACCACCAGTGCCAAACCCAGACACTACCTGCGCAGACCTGCTCCCCAATTCAGAAAGTTGGCCATGCTGTATCCGGAATTTTTGGCTTCATTTTTGTATAGTGGTAGAACGTGGAGACGCAACTTTGTTGGTGGAATCAAAAATCACTCCCTGACATCTTATAGTGTAAACGATTAACTGATTATTTAGAAAACAATCTAAAAGAGGAATCAATAATCAAAATAACCATAAGCTGCAGCCTTGAACCCAACTATAATTTGAAGCCAAATTTGGAGAACACATTATTATTGTTGAACCCACAGTCTGTCTCTCCCCAACTAACACTACAGCAGGGTTCTTGACAGTTTGTGCTTCTTGGTACAAAGCCCACATGTTTACAGTGAGATTGGTCTTGTGATTAAAGATTAATTAAGTTTCATTAATTTAAAAGGCTTTCGGGAAGAATTAATGTTACGCAGACTAATTCCCCTGGAAGGACACACACGGCTGGTGAAATAATTTTCCAGAGAAGAAGTGTTTCATTTCTCTGGCAGAGAGAGCTGGACTTTGAATGGATCAACATGCTGGGAGTGAACAGTGCTCCTGCTGTGATGGACAGGATGAGGTATGGAGTTTGTTAGAAACTTCATTAAGTCTACTGCTATGGCTGTAGTGCAGCAATTGGTGGCCTCATACGTGTAATCCAGAATATTTTACCATAGCAGTGATGTGAGCAGTTAATTGTGAGCTGAAGTCAGCAGTTAGTAGCAACTTTCAGCTTAAACTCATGTAGCATTTCCAAGAGGTTTGTTTGAGCAACATCCTCCAACATTTGATTGTCGCTAACCTGTGACCCCTTACTGTAACCCTGCTCCTTAACCTTCTCACTGCTGATGCCCTTTGGAACATCCTTTGGATCTCTTTCTGGAACTGGCCATCAACCACTGGTTTGTCCGAACCATAGCCATCTTGCCTTGGATGCCCCACTGTCTCTTGGATTCTCTGTCTCTCATCTTTCCTCTCTCCTGCCACTTTGCAGTTTGGGTACTCCTCCTGGCAGATTGGGGGTCCACATGATGCATGGTGCTTTGAGCGCCATGCGACAGCCTGTGCCTTGCTTTTGGTTTCCTTTTCCAAACTGTCAAGTCCAGAGCTTCCCAAACTTTGGAGGCTGCTATCCTTGTGTTACAATTTTCCATATCTCCAATGCCATTCAAAGTGTCATTCTGTTTATGTTTTTTTTACAGCAAAGCGGCTGATTCCATTTCAACTTGAACTAAGATGACTGCTGTCAGAATCTGAAAAGTTCTGAATCAATGAAATCAGCAATGGGAAATCCCCTCATCATCTTAGCAATGTTTCATCCACTTGCATAAGTAGTAAATAAGTGACACATGCACTTAATTAAAACCAGCAGTCGCTCCTCATTCAATAGCCAAGGTTTCCATTAGTGTCTGCACATTTCGCACCCTTGTAAAATCCATAGAAATCGTATTTTTTCTCATTAAATGGTGAGACGTATAATGTTTTCAGAGATGTCCTCTTGCATGTTCAGAGTTTTTGTGGCTTTGTCTCTAGTGCTAATTTTTAATATAACGTAGCATGATGTGCTGCCATTTAAATGCAACACTGTATTGATTCCTGAGGGGACATTTGATTTGTGGATATAAACTCTGACATTTCAGTAATTCTGTGACTTTGTATTTTGCCTGTTCCTTCTGCAGCCATGGAAGTGTTCAATTTAAGTGTTCAACAGCATATGCTAACTGAAACTTTACCTTACATGCATTTGATTCTGGTGAGTAAATTGTTCACATTTAATGAGGTATAGAAAAGCATTACAGTTATCGTGCCCTTTTCTGCTTCTGAACTCTAATTAATGCGTGTGTGTGACTCAGTGTTTCATCATTTGCATGCAGTCTGTCCTGCGGTGCTATTATCTTACTCTGAGTGAAGCGGGGAGGGTTGTCGTTGACATCTGTGAGGGTGATGTTAACCACGGTCGTTCCAGTGAGCCCTCCTCTCTGTCCAGCCATGTCTTTGGCTTCGATCACCACCTGGTAGTGTTCCCTCTGCTCGCGGTCCATGTCACCAGGTCCCAAGGCTGTCCGGATCACACCTGGAAAAAAGTAAACAGCTTTTTGTTTAAGTTCTGCTCTTCATTTTCTCTTTGCTTGCATTGCTTTGTCTTCATCGTCAGCCCCCTTTTACCAGAATCCTACATCATGCTAAACTTCGATGGCTCCGAGAGCAATTGGAGAACATGCTGTTTCCAATTAAAATGTACAAGGTTTAAGGTGAGACTGAGACTTCACAAACACGTGTATTTCGCTGTTGTTTCTTTTGTGGGTGGTTGAGAGAAAAACTTGCCATCTGTTATAGATTTAGTTATTAAAATCAATACACAGATTGTTACACATGTTCTGCAGATAAAATCAGGTCATTCTAAAACAGTAATTCAGATCATCTGATAAGGATTCAACAACACCTTAAATCTTCTAAACCTGTGTCTGGATTTACAATCATTTGGTGCAAACACTAGTCTAGTGAGGAAAACAGCGAAACTGAAATGAGTGAAGATGGAGCTAGACTCAACAGGCCGGTTCTGTCCAAAATGAAAAAGTAAGAATATCAACACCTCTGAAGCTCACTGATTAAC